CCTCCTCCTTCTCCTCCTCCTCCTCAAATGTCACTCGGGTTCCGCGCGCCCTGCGGGCGCATGCCCGCCTGCCCCAGGCCTCAGCGGGGGGCCCCGTGAAAGCCGCCGCGTCCCGCACGCGGCGGTGGATCATTCGGGGCGAGTGGCTCGGGCTTCTTGGCGCAGCCGCGGTGGCGCTGGTTCAGGTGGAAGCAAGAGCGTGCAGCTCTCTGACTTCAAGCGGCTGGTCTACCTCCCAGGGTTGCCACAGGCATGGCTGGAGCGAGGAGTTGGAGGCTCGTGGCTGAAGTGGCGGTGCGGCAACGAGGCCAAGCCCTATGTGACCAGATCGACTTCGCACCCCCTCCTTCCCTGCTCCGTTTTTCTCTCCCTCCCCATAGTCCGTTTTCCTTCTAAACAACTGCTCCCTGTCGCACACCCAGACGTGTCGATAGGGCGGGCCCAGCGTTTCGCTTGAGCCGTCCTCACAGCTTAAAATCCAGAAACGTGACATGCGCATCAGTTTATAATTTCCCAACAGCTTCAAAGATTGAGGGCAAGTGGTCTTCAAAATGTGACTCTCGCCCTTGCGCCTAGCGCCGCGCATATCCGTCCGAAAAGCTTGCAGCATTTTCAATCATGAAGGGCGGCTCTTTTCAAAATGAGGCCCTCGCCTTAGCGCCGCGTACACTTGTTTAGAAAGTTCACAACATATTCAAGGGCTCGCATGGTCGAAGTCCCAATAATGGTGCCAGGTCGCAACAATCACGTTGATTCGCTGTGTTGAAGTCCCAGGAATGCTGTTCTGGTGCAATTTCGGCTGTCCAGACGCAACATTCGCATTGATTCGCGACGCTAACGTCCCTGGATTGCTGTTTCGACATGGTTCAGAATTGTCCGGACGCAACAGTAGCTTTGATTCGAGACGCTGACATCCCAGGAATGATGTTCTGGCACGATTGAGATTCTCAGACGCTTGCCTTCCAATATGGCATTCACCACAATGAGAATTGATTGTTGCAGGGCCCTATGAAGAAGAAACTTGGAGGGAGGGATTATGGCAGCATCGTTGACGAGTCTTGGGATTACACTGATCCTCTGCCTCCTCCTCCTCCCCCTCTTCCTCCCCTTCCCACCCCTCCCCGCTGTTCCTCCTCCCCCCGTGTCTCCTCCCCTTCAAAGGCTCCAGAGGCACACCGAATGCGCCCCAAAACCTCGATCCCCAAGCCTCGATCATAGCCTCCTCCCCCTCCCCTCCCGATCCTCGAACCTCGATCCGCGCACCTCGATCGTCTTACCTCGAACTTCCAACCGCTCCCCGTCTGATCCTTTCCCAGCGCCCGCGCCAGGGCAGCGGCGAATCCCGCCGCCCTGGGTCTCGCGCGCGCCAGCCGGCGCGGGCGAGGATACGCCCCTCCAGCCCATCGGCTTCTTCCGATGGCCAGGACGGGGGGTGGGGGGCCCGGGTCGAAAAAATCGGCGCCAGAGGACCCAGACCTCGGACGTCGTGAAGCAATCAGTGCCAGAGCCCTTCGCCACTTCTTCGGCCTCGGAGGGGAGGGGGGGCGCTTTCGGGCCCCAGGCAGCATCATATATCAGGAGAACACTCATCGTGTTGGGAGGAAGGGGTTGGGAGGATGAAAGGTATGAACAATAGCATCCGGATTCCCGGATGCAGTGAACGATACCTTCGGCAGCCTACGGGTAATGAGATCCCCATTTCTCCCAACCCCATCCTCCCAACCCGATGACAGTTTTCATGAATCTACGACGATCCAGGATGGAAGGCTGGCTTCGGGGAGGGGGTCGGGGCTTCTGGCGGGGGGGCGGCGGGGTGTGTTTATAAGAATCACGACGTCGGAGGCCTGGGGAGTTCACCCGCCAGGAAGCACATCCGCACCCACCGCTGCCAGGAAACTCCTGACCCTGGAGCTCCCTGGGGACTCCGCCGCCCCCGCCCCCTTCCGGGGGCGAAGGCGAGCAGATGCCTGTAAGGTAAGGGCAGTGGACAAGAAGCCATTGGATAACCAATGCCCCTGAGAATAACACCCGGGGGATACTAAAACTCTGGGTCTCGGGGGGGCAGTCAACAATTTATCCCAGCATGTCGCACGTGGGATGTATGACGACGACGACGACGACGACGACGACGGCGACGACGACGACGACGACGACGACGACGACGGCGGCGGCGATGGCGACGACGACGACGACGAAGACGGTGTTCGGTTACGGAATCCAGGGTCTGGAAGCTGGTGAAACTCCCACCGTGGAGTGGCCATGGGCATCACCGCCGCCCTCATCGGATACGGAATCCTCTAAATAGAAGAAAAGAAAGAAAAAAATTAAAAAAAACGGCACAAACATAAACTTTTGGCGCTCCGCGCGGATTTCTTGGATCTGCACTGGACCCCCCTCCCTGGCGCGCGGAGCCCGGCGCCGCCGCCGAGGGGCCACAGCGCGGATGAAAGAATTCTGCGCGGAGCGCCAAGAGCTTCTATGTACGGCGTTTTTCTTCTCC